GCCATGTAGATAACTTTGAAAGATGAATCACGTGGGGCTGGCTAAATGACCTGACTCTAACAGGTGATCACAGATAGATGACTTCGCAGTTCTACGCTCGCCTTTCATTAACCAGACTGGATAGTGTTCAGCTACACGTTTTCCAAGATTACGCTTACAACGTCCAATATAAACAGCTCCACAAGAGCAGGTAAAAGAGTAAATACACATGGATGTGGACAAAAGTGGTAATCTATCCTTGACGCATTGTCTAATCATATTTCGGCTGGTAAAAACTAGTTGCAATTCAGCTGCAGGAAAAGTACGTTTTTTAATACATTTAGATAAACGATTTTTAATCAATTCCGAAATGGCGTCACCTTTGAATGCCAGACTCATAAACAGTTTCTTCTTTGGCACTGTAATTTGTCTGGGGGCGTGTTCTTTCTTGATGTTACGTTCGATAAACCTTGTAGGATAACCATTGTTAGGGAGATTTGATCGAAGCTTATCTAGTTCACTATCGATTGTCTCTGCAGAGCAGATTTTACGAATTCTGGAGCATAAGGAATGAATAAGATTTCTCTTTCTCCCTAACGGTACCCAACTGTTGAAGTTAGTGTACTGCCCAGTGAATGTGCGCTTTCGGTGAATCGACCTTAACAGCGTGTCATTCTCTCTTCTATCTAGCTTTACATCAAGGAAGTGAAATGAGGAATTCGACTCTTCTTTGACCGTGAATAGCAAAGATGGGTGAGAACCATCATCTAAACATGACTCATCCTACCTTGTTCTTTTCTCTTCTTTTTTCTATTGGCTATTAGATAAAACATTTTCTTTAGTTACGTAATCTACTTTTTGTTATGCTCTTTCTAGCTAAACCTTGTTTCTATATATAAATAAATATATATATATATATACGTAACTCTGTTTTTGTTTCCAGGCCTAATTGTCTAATTATTCTATAAATAGTCAGTGTGTCTGTAACTCTTAATTAGTTAAATCATTCCGGACGAATGTTACTTTTTTACACTTCCTACCAACCAATTACTCCTTTGTGATCGTGTAAAAGTATGTTCAAATCTTCACAATCTAATTCATTTATATATATATATATACTTTTTATCGTTCAGGTTGTAACCAGTTGAGAAGAATCCTCAAAATAATAATAATAATTTGCTTTATTCCAAAACAGTACATGTGATACAGAATGGAATTCTCAGCATTTTTACTACAGTACTGCATCCAGTTTGTGTACATTATCAATAAATAGAATTCTACATGGATTAAGGAAATCTCAGTTCATTATTACAACAACACATTGGCATGTCGGTAGCAAAGGTAAAGCTGAACATTGTTTGAAGGTGTTAGAAAAGTAGGTGCTGTCATATTTCCTGGCGTAAGCGAGAGAAAGAAACAAAGCAGCACATAACGGAAAAAAGAGAGAGAAAAGGAAAAGAAAGAAAGAGAATGTTGTACCTATTGATGATATGAGTTGGAAAGACGAGATCCAGTTGTACTACTGACTATTTAATGAATTATAGGTGTCAAGCCTAATGCTTTCTTTATCACACAGAATACGAGCCAAGTAGGGTATGGTTGAGTATTTGTACTTGCTGGTGTGAGCATATAGTTTTCTATATAGGCTTCTGGTCCTCCCTGATGAGATACAAGGGGAGAGTTGTGAATGAAGAAGGTGGTGTGAGTTAGATAGAATGGATTTGGCCCATTTTTCACATGAGTCCATGTGCCTGTCAAGCAGAATATTAACAAGCTGGTTAAGTGGCACGTTGCTTACCCTGCTGACAACCTTTAACATCCTGCGTAATATGTTATAGTCTTTCTTCAGTATCCCGGAAAAATCTAAGGGGGAACAATAGAGAATAATAGGCAGGATGCAACAGTTAACGAATCGTAAGAGTAAGGATTGGGTTCGGTTGGGTCATTCCAGAATGTCTTAACTTCTTGATGTAGAAGGTAAGACGGAATGCTTTTCTTAGAAATCATCAAGATATGAGACGATCAAGAAAGATCAGCAGATAGAATGACGCCTAGGTATTTAATTTCCGATTTGGTTTCTATTTTTCAGTGCCATCTATGCTTGCACACCTCGTGGGAACCAACCAGATTGTTTAGGTCAGATTTATGCCTAGAGGTGAAATCGACTTTTTGGTATTTGGAGGGATTTAAGGTAGGACCGTTTTCCTTGGACCACACTGGCTGATTTCTGACAGAAATCAGCCATTAAGTTCGGAGCAGTTACTTTGACATTTAAAAGAAAAGTAGGCGTTCAGCGAAGAGACTCTTTTCGGCGAATTCATTCACTGAGCTGTACAATCGCATCCACTCAGAAGGAGTAAACATCGGCATACCCACCGACTATCTAAAAGAACTTCTGCTGAGATGCATCCTAAACGTCCAGTTCTCCTTTAACAATGAAATATATCGTCAAAAGGATGGTATAGCTATGGGCTCACCACTAGGCCCTCTGCTTGCGAATTTCTTTATGTCGAAACTCGAAAATACTTGCCTAAAGAATATGATTGACAACTTTGAACTCTACAAGAGGTACGTCGACGACACCTTCATCATCTGCAACAACGAAGAGAATTTAGAAGATATCCTGAAGTTCTTCAACAACTGCCACCCTGCGATTCACTTCACACTAGAGAAAGAGTCTTTTTTTAAGATATCTTTTCTTGACGTTCAACTGACGAGACGCCAACAAGACGGGACATTAAAAAGATCCATCTACAGAAAGCTAACGTGGAACGGACAGCTCACTAACTTCCACAGTTGGGTACCTCTATATACTAAACGAAACTTAATCCGTTCACTAAGCCACAGAATACGTAGAATTTGCAGTCTGGACGCCATAGAAGATGAAATGAACACTCTTAAGAAAATCCTCCTTGAAAATGGCTATCCAGAAAGATTTATCACAAAACCAATGAAACCCAGACCAGAGAAGCCGTCCACACCCAGTACT